ACAGACTGAGTTCTATCAAACTGGGCCTCTAAGAGTCTCTGGTCATGGCAAAAGTTGGGGATAGATGTGTAACTTTCCTGGTAAACAACAGAACAGAGCTCTCTGCCTTCAAAAGTTCCTTCTGTCACTTTCTGCCACAGTAACCATTGAAAAACAGTAGCCATGGCCCTCCACTATCCCATGGCTGTGGGCCTCAACAAGGGTCACAAGGTGACTAAGAATGTGAGCAAACCAAGGCACAGCCATCATTGCATGTGCCTCACCAAACACATCAAGTTCATGCAGGAAATGATCCGTGAGGTGCGTGGCTTCGCCCCACATGAGCAGCATGCCATGGAGCTGCTCAAGGTCTCCAAGGACAAATGTGCCCTCAAGTTCATCAAGAAAACAGTGGGGATGCACATCTGTGCCAAGAGGAAGCACAAGGAGCTGAGCAACATGCTGGCTGCCATGAGGAAGGCAGCTGCTGAGGACTGAACCCCTCTGGAATAAAGCTTTGCAGAAGGTTAAAAAAAAAAGTTCCTTCAAAAAGTTATCATCGTCTAGGCAACTGGGACTCTTGCCTTGTACCCCTTCTTCAGGCACGAAGTTATACCATGGGAGGACATTGTTTTCATGCCATGCCAGTCAGCCTCCCTCTTGTTTAACCCTGCACTTTCAATTTTAACTCTTCCCCATGAGGAACATGATGCCTGCATTAGCCTGAGATAGCCAACAGCAATCTTGAAGTTCTAAAAAGAGATACCCATCCAGAGATATAAAGACTTGCCTGTGAGCCTGGCCATCAACCATGCTGCCTCATTGTGGCCCCATTGCTGTCAGATGTCACAGGAACCATAAACAGGCATCCGGCCATACATCAGCCTGACAGACTAATCACTTTGGGCAAGAGCTCTGTGCTGTCAACAATGCATCCATCACCTTAGAAATGATGTGGTTTTCATACACCCTTTTTGGACTGCTCTAGATTTAAAAGATGCCTTCCTCTGCTTGCAAATTGCTTTCATAAGCCCCTTCAAATGGGAAAATCCTGAGATAAAGGTCAGCTCACTTGGACTCAGTTGCCACAGGGGTTAAAAAGTCTCTCACCTTGGTTCCACAACTACATTATCAAAATAAATTCACAAAGCCAAATCCAACAAATCTGAAAGGCTCTCAGATTCAGCCCAAGCCAGGAAAGTTTTGTCTCATTCTGCTTCAGGTCCCTGAGTTTGATCCACTTCCTTCTTACATTCATTAACCCCAAGTTGCCTGCAGCACAGCTTTCTACTCTACTGTCTGCAACTCCTTCTGACTCCGTCTAAGTAAGAGAACTTGCAGAATGGCACTGAAAGAACACTGCCATATTTTAGATGGGGCCAACCCCTGGTTAAAATCAAAAGTCCCCACCACTGTGGTTGATCCTAACACTTGGATGAACAGGTAAACACAGCCTTCCTCTGGGTGTGTCCAAGCTGGGATTGTAAGGCAACAGAGGGCAAAAAAGTCTTAGATCAGTACCGCAGTGCTGTCCTGGTAGACCTCAAAGAGGGAGACAAGCCAATAAACATGTATAAAGTTACTAAAGTTATGCCCTGTAGCCCAACTGGGCCCCTTCAGGAGGGCTGATATCTGCCTCAGGCTAATGCAGGTGTCACCTTTCTCTTGGGCAACAATCAAAGTTGAAAGTTTAGAGTTAAACAAGAGGGAGGCTCACTAGCTTGGTGCAAAGGAGATGTTCTCCAGGGGTACAAGTTTGTGCCTGGCAGAAGGGGCAAGAGGCAAGAGTCCCAGATGCTCTGGTGATGGTAACTTTTTGACAGAAGGAAGAGAGTTTTGAAGGCAGACAGTTCCACCAGGAAAGTTACAGGTTTGCCCCCAACTTTTGCAATGACCACAGGATCTCAGGGGCCCAACTTATTTTTGAATAGAAATTCTGCCAAAGCAGAGTTTGTAAGAATGATGGACACTTTATCAAACATAAATTTCTGTACATGCTTGGATGCCCTATACCTCTCCTGAGATCGGAACAACCTCCTTCACACTTGAGTCCACTGGCCTGGCTTGACATTGACTCTAATTGTATACCAGGAGAAAGAATGGTGCCTACGTGAGCTTTAAATGCCTGATAATCATAGCCTTGAAATTTTGAGAGACTTGTTTACAGATACATGGATACAGCACTCACCTCCAGGCTTGCTATCAATTGTGTCCCTTTGGTGATTGAGTTCTGTCCCAAGGCAGTCCCCACCTACATCAAGCAGTACACCTGTCTTGCCTGTAAAGCCAGTTGAAGATTTCCTAACCACCAATGCCATTCCCAACCGCCAATGCCATTGTAACCGTCCTCTGTATACACTGTCTCAGTCATCTACCACCCGCAGCCTGCTGGTAACCTGCCTGGACCTACAAATGCCTTCTGCCTTCAACTGACTCCTGCCAGCCCCTTTCTCCTTTAAATGGAAAGACCTCAGTTCTGGACTCAAAAGCCAACTAACCTGGACTCAACTTCCCACAGGTTCAAAAACTTGTATCCTCCTTGAAAAAGCAATTTTAATTAATGACACTCAAGCTGTCTGCTGAAAGACACAAAAGCTCTCCTACAATAAACTGGTTACAAGAAACAAACTGGGAACTTCTTGGAGCTGCTGGCTTCCACATGCTTCTCAGACTGTTAGTCCCTGGGAACACCCAGTGTCCTCTAAGTGCTGCCTTCCCCAGTTTGTCTCTGTGCTCTAATGGCCACTGTCCTTCTGGTCAAGAAAGCTGACAAGTTCACCTTACACTGAGATGTAGCTCTCCAGGTGCTACAAGCTGTCCTGGGACGAGACGCTGAGCACACCCTGTTTATGCATGGAAGTGGCTCTGTGAGGACAGGCTAGATACGCTGTGGTCAACTGAACAAAACTATTTTGGCTGAAGCTCTCCCGCTATGGCTTCCTGCAGCTGTTTAGAAACCTGCCACCAATGACGCCAAACCTGTGCTCTAGTGCACACCCATGCACATGCGTGCCCACCCGTGCACATGCGTGCGCACACACACACACACACACACACACACACACACCCCAGGATTGAATTGGCTGAAATATCAACCCTAGCTAGAAAATCTATACCCAGCATTTCTGGAAGACCAAAGCCCTGCACCATTTGTTCCGTGAGCTCAAGCTGCGGTGCTGACACCTATACCCTGCAGCCAGCTCAGGCTGGAGCATCTGTGTCAGTGGCCCAGACCTCAAGCATTATAATGAATTCTCCCCATTTAAAGATATATAGATAGATTACACAGACATAAAACATAATCCGACAGAAATAGCTTGTAGCAAGTTAAAAGATCAGCCAAATCTGTACACATTCCTGCACACACATGTAACCCACATACATATTAACTACTTCTACAAGTTTCAGAAATTCAGCCTTCAATCCACTGGAGAATTGGTCTGGACAGCTCCTCCGAGGCTCACTCTGAGGAGACAGCACACACTAATGCTGACCAGTCCACACACAACTGAAGCCTAAGACACAGTCCACAAGATTGCTGTATACCTACATCCCTTGATTTTTGTGTCATTTATTTATTTATTTATTTATTTATTTATTTATTTATTTTGGCGGAACCGGGGATTGAACTCAGGCCCTTGCACTTGCCAAGGAAGCGCTTATTCCACTGAGCCATCTCCCCGGCCCCTGATTTTTGTGTCTTTTAAAATTGCTTGCTACAGTCCTTGCTTCCCTGCCCACATGTTAACTATGGTTTTTGTTAACTGACCTGGATTCTGCTTACCCCTGTCCTTGCTTCCCCACCTACTTCTAGCTGGGTTTTTTTTTTTTTTGTTGTTGTTAGTTTGTTTTTGTTTTTGTTTTGTTTTGTTTTTTGGCACTGGGGATCAAAGTCAGGACCTTGTGCTTACCAGGGAGGCACTTACGCCACTGAGCTATATGGATGGTTATCCCAACTATCAGTCAAACACTTAACCAAGATTTGATGAACATCCAAGACACATTGGACACTCTCCTAGAAGAGATTTTTTTTTTTTTTGTCTTTGTGAGATATGGTCTTGATATGCAGTTCAGACTGGCCTTGAGCTCACTTTGTAACCCAGGCTTCTCTTGAACTTCCAATGATCCTCCTGCCTCAGCCTGTGACAGGAACTGAGAAAAAAGTAGGGGGTAGCTATTGTTGGCTACTGTTAGCCAAATTCTGAAAAGCAGCACTGCCATTTAATATGTGGAATGCTAATCACTGTAGCCTAATACTGGATGTTCTTTGAAATATATAGAAGGGAGAAGATATTAGATGTTTTATTAAGTTATTTATTTCCCATATAACTAGAATAGGACCAATTCTCTCTCCCACCCCCTAATTAGATGAATTACCTTTATCTATTTCCATTTAGCTGACAGTGAGAGTTTGAGATGACAGACTACTTGGACTCTATCCCCAGAGGTTGTGATTCAGCAGGTCTGGGGTAGGGCTTGGCAATCAGTTCTTTAAACAGTCCTCTGCTTGATTCTGCTGTGTACCTAGCACCACACCCATTCAGCACAGCTAGGTGACAGGAAGTAGAAGGTCACACGTGGCCCAGCCCAGCCCTCCAGGGCAAAAGTCAAGATAAGGTTGGGGAACTTGATAAGAGTTGAAAGTATATCTTTTATCGGGTAGGGGCTGGTATGTTAACTAATGATGAGCAACCGTTTGGGGGAGAGAAAAAGAAGATCAGAAAAAGGGACAAATACTATAGATGCTTTCATATACAATATTAATCTACAGTGGTTGGAACTGTGTGGCTATACAATGATGAGAAAACACTCATTTTAGGCTCACAAATGATAATATGCACATGGGTATGAAGAACCATCCATAGGAGAAGGATGTAATCATATTATTCTGTCTGATTCTCTAATGCGAGTCATCACTTCTCATACATGTTATTGCCAATTAACTCTCGCATTTCTCAGTGCAAATACATTGGATCTGTTAGTTCAAAAAGCCTTCCCCAAAGCATTTTCTGTACACTTACTTTGAAAAGGAAGCTCTCCGCATGGTAATGGATGGTATGTATGTCCACTTCACTTCCTATTCCTAATAAATACCAGTTGGTCATTGTATCTTCATTCATTATGAGGCCCGGGAGATTTCCAAAAATCTTGCCATTAATGGCTAGAAAAGGTGAAAAGAAAATGGCCTTTGGTCAGTGAGAAGACCGCACTTAATTTGGTTTCAGAAATGGTTCTAGATCTTTAGGAAATCAGTATTCTTATGTATACTAACTCTCCCTTATCCATGTCCTTGCCATTCTAGATCTAAAATTCAGATAACCAAGAAATCTTTATGTCAAAAAAGCTAGAAAAGAGAAATGCCAGTTGGTTTTCCAAAGCTTTATCTTGGATGACACCGTTTGTTTGTTTGTTTATTCAGAACATCTTTGTGAAATAGGTTACAGGCTCATTGGTAGGAAGCCGAATTTATACCACTGTACCAATGAGTAGCCTAAGCCATACCCAAAAGAATCAAAATTATATCCATGAATATTGAATGAATTTGAAGTTGTTACTTTAATATTTCACTTTCTGAGAACTAGTTTAAACCTGGCTGAATCCCTAAAAGGAAGGCTTCACTTTTTTTTGACAAGCTGGCTTCATAAGGACCAAGAAATGGAGGGTGGTGGGCGGGAGGGTGGAAGGAAAAGAAAGAAAAGAATGAATATGTGCTACATACATTGCCAGCTTCCCTGAGGGATGCAGTCATTATGTACTGCCAACATGTACTACTAATTGTTTTTAAAGGCTGAGCTTATACAGTGATGACTCTTACTTGTCCACTTCCTGCGAGCTGTTTATTCTGTGTACCACCAAATATGCCACATTCATGAAAGACAGCAACAGTGGGAAAAGTAGCTGAACTGGGAATCAGGCCACAATAATCTAATTTGTATTAACAACTAGCTTTGTAACCTTGGGCAGGATTCATCTACCTACGCAGACCTTGGCAAGTGAATCAGGATGTGTCAATCTGAGCTCTTATCAAGTCAAACAAACAAAAAACTACATTCAATAACATAAAATTAAATAACAGACACACTGAAACAAAATTCAGTGATAGTGTCTCATGTCCCAGAGAATTAAACCAAATCCTTAAATTTGATCAAACAGGAATTAGGCTACTTAACATAAAGTATACCAATAACTGGCAATTCATTTTTGAAAAAGTTCCTTTTTTTTTTTTTTTTTTTTTTTTTTAGTTTAAAGACCTCAGCATTCAGAGCCAGGCACAACTCAGTGACTCTGCTGCCAGTCAGCCAGTGCTTAGGCTGCTATATGCCGATAAAAAGTGTCAAAGGATGTTGCTCAGTCCAGGTCCCCCTGAGAAGAGAAGGAGGCTGAGGGCCCCTACAGTGACAGGAGTTTCCATGAATCTATCTCAACAGGGCCCTCTCTTTAAATCCCCAATATACCATGCATCTTGTTGCTCTCTTCAAAATCATCAGTGCGCTTAAAATTCCGTGGATCTTTATTGAGATACTTCTTAATATTGTCATCCAGATACCAGGATTCATTCTCATCAAATACCAAAAACAACAGAGCAAATTCATAATCAACATCGCTTCTCCTTCCCTTTTCATTCAGTATTCCTTCTCGGCAGGTGATCAGAGGGCCCATCAAACCACTATATGTATCCTGGAAGAAAAATTAACCAGATTAGATGAATGAGTAAATAACTTAATAACATTCCATTCTATCTGCCATGATTCTGCTGTAGGATCTAGAAATTGGTTCCTTTCTTTCTGGATCACCCCCCTCAGCTCATTCTATCTAACACCATCAGATTACTCTCATCACTCCTGAATCCCGAAACCTTCAGTGACTTTTCCACAGCCTACAGGATGTAGAACAAAATCCTTGACATGATTTTAATTCTCATGATTTTTTCTCCGCAGTAAACCTTCTGGCTTAGCCTTCTCCACTGCTTTCCTTTTGGCTTCTACAGGAGAGCCATGGTTTTAGGAGTCAGTGCACCTTTCACTGTCCTGTTTTCAGCTCTGCCTATAAAGCTCCTTCTCAGACTCTCTTCCCAAGCCCTCTTGGTACCCTTGACAGCCCACCCCTCCTACAGAATTCATCACATTCAGAGTCATGACAGTTCCCAGTGTAGACAGGTATGTATGATTTTCTTAAAGTTGTATCTCATCAAGATAAGAATATTTGCTTTTGTTCCAGCATTTGGGAGCATCATGTGTGTATCATAAGTACACAGTAAATATTGGTTGGATGTACAAATGAATAAACACATTCCCACTATTCTAATTTTTAAATTTGTAAGTGCCTTAAGTGTCTATATTCTGAACTCTAGTGGATCCAGAACAAGTCAAAGGTATTAACTCAAGCTATCTAATACCTGAAAGGAAGGGTAAAATAGTCCCTTAATTCTTAAAATAATGGGCAATCATTATCATTTTATATCAGATATGATTTGGTTTGGACTTTGGTTTATGACATAGAAAAACATTTATCAGTCTACTAATCATTCAAATAGGTTCATAATTTTAGTTATTATGTTTGGGACATGCTTTCATTTCCTGTGCCTGGTAATGACTTTGAAGTTAATAGATTTTGAGTCTGTGTATGGTGGCACATGACTGTAATCCCAGTGCTTGGGAGGCTGAAAACAGAAGATCACTACGAGTCTGAGCTGCTTAGTGAGACCCTATAACAACCAAATACATTTTAAAAAAAGAAATTAATAGATTTCATACATCTAAAATCAAACAAGTTATATTCTAAGATCTTTTTTATCATCCATTTATATATCCTCTTTTGTTTCAAGTTACTGTGCATGTTTTTTTTTTTTTCTTTTTCCTGAGACACAATCTCACCATGTAGCTGGCCTTGAACTTTCTTTTGTAGCCCAGATTGGCCTCACGCTCACTGATCCTATTTCCTCAGCCTCCCCGAGTGCTGGGATGATAGGGTGAACCACCATGCCCTGTGGGAGGCACAATGACTCCAGGCCTCCAATCCTATTGCACGTGGGTTTCCAGGTTCCTCCTCCCCTACCTCTGCTGAGCTAGGTTCCTAGTTCTTACCCCACCTATTTCCCATAAGTCTCCCGCTATGCCCAGGAGGTGGGACTTCCTGTCATAGCCCGGTTGCCTAGTTACTCGCGCCTTTTACCCGCCAACGTCATTTCCCTATGCCTCCACTATATATACCCAGCACCTCCCCTAAATAAACGGGACTTGATCAGAATCCTGTCTCCATTCTTTGCATCTCCTGTCCTTTGTCCCCTTTTCAATTTCCCGCTCCTCCCCCAGGTGACCTTCGTTGACTGACCCGCTGGTTCGGGACAATGCCCTCTTTCCTTATAAGTTCTAAATTTGGTAATTAAAATACTGGGGTTTTCTTTTTTTAAATTTTCTGTACCTAAAATCAATGGTTAGTAAATGTTTTAGGATAAAGCACCAGATGGGCAATGTTTTTTCTTTATTGTACTTTAGGAGTCATTGCTAGTGTTTCTTTCACAAATCCCTGCCAGAGTTGGAATGACATTACTCAGTTAGCAACCACAATACATAAAGCACCTTGTTTGCTCCCCCCAGCTTACCTTCACAAAGTTTACTGTTGAATAGTAAACCCATGGGATACAATTGGGATCCGAGGGCCCTGGACCTGATCTCTTAGGGACATTCCATCTGTAAGTTCTAATTTCTCCTGAAATGAATGAGAAGAAATTATTAGAGTGGCTTCTGTTGCAAAAGATTTCTTGAAGAAATACAAGCAGATCTCTATGTATATTAATTGTTTACTGTTCAAGATAATAACTCATTCATCAGAAATGTTCTTTTTTTTTTTTTTTTTTTTGAGACAAGATCTCTCTATGTAGTTCAGGCTAGCCTTGAACTCATAATGTATTGGAGGCTGGCCTCAAGCTCAAGGAAATCCTTTCTCCTCAGCCTCCCAAGTGCTGAAATTACAGATGTATGCCATCATCCCTGGCTAGAGATATTCTTATTCAACTGATGCCTTGATTTCTACAATTTCAGAATGCAATGATACATATGACAATCTACCTGTCTAAATTCTTGTAGGAAAAATTCTTTTTGTCACATTTTAGTTCATTCTCCCCATGCCCATGATCCTTACCTCCAAAGTTCTTGGAAGTCCAGGAAGCAGAGAGCTGCTGTGTCTGCCTATCCTTACCGCTGGGACACAGCAGCCTGTTAGGCCATCACCCCAGCTTGGTCACAGCCCTACCATCCTAGTTTCAGACTGTTGTAAGGATTAAATGGCATAATGAAATTAAATACATAGGGTTGAGGCCCACATTGCAGTCAATAAATATTAAGTTTTCTCTAAGCTAATAACAAATGAGTTTCTGTGGGTAGACACCATACCGATGCATTCTTCATGGCCGACTCCTGACCTTGTCTGGAGTAAGCATCAATATATCAATGTTACCTAGCAAGATAAGCACACTGCAAGTGTCCCAAATAAAAGCTACATTTAAATCACTGTCTCCTTTGAGCTATGTCCACCAGAGCAACAAACCTACAGCTCAGTCTGTGTGCACCAAAGAACAAGTTATATTTACATGTAACTTTGCTCCATTTCCTAATATATCAGTGGGTAGCAATACAACTTTAGATCTACTGTCCACTATATGTCATTAAAACCCTTTGCTTTATTAATATCAAGATAAACCACTGATGTTTACTTTCCTAAGTACATATGACTTCAGGGGTAGTATTATTAAAGTTGGAATAATCCATTATTTGTCCAGCAGTGAGCATAGCAATAAATGTAAAGACATTCAGTAAATTTTGTTGAATGGCTTTTTTTAAAAAGATACTTGATAATAGCTATTTACTTTTATCTGATGTTAATTTTCTCTCCTTTTCTTATGCATGTAGTTTCTTCTACAACTTGTTTGGATTTCATGCAATGTTAGTGTCTTCCTCGTCACATCAATCTCTGGGGTTTCCCAGAATTTTAAGTCTCGTAAAAAAAAAGCAAAACCGCCTATCCTGAGTTCCAGCAGGAAATATGTGTGCTTGTTCCATTCTACTCCATTCTCCTCCCACCACCATGACCTTCATCTCCAAAACTGTTGGAGGCCAGCAAACAGAAAGTGGCTGTGTCTGCCTGTCCTTACCACTGGGACAGAGCAGCCTGTCAGGGGTCACTCAGCTTGCTCATAGCCCTACCAGAGGGCTACCTTGATGGGCATCTTTCTTTCTTTTTTTCTCTTTCTTTCTTTCTTTCTTTCTTTCTTTCTTTCTTTCTTCCTTCCTTCCTTCCTTCCTTCCTCCCTCCCTCCCTCCCCCCTTTCCTTTTCTTTCTTCCTTCCTTCTTTCCTCTGTGGTTGGCTTCAACCATGAATAATTAGTAACTTTATCTAATTGCTTAATAGTAAGAGATTTGACAATTTCCCACTAAGATCAGGAGAAGAATAAGACAAGGCTTTTCTCACATAAATGCTTCTCAACATCTGGCCACAAGTCCTACTTAATGAAGTAAACAAGAAAAGGAAATAAAAGATAAGGACAAAATCAAACTGTCTGTTTTCAGATGACATGATTATGTAGGAAATCCAAAAGAATGTAATTAATAAGCAATCATAGTAAGATGTACAATACAAGGTTAATACACAAAGGCCAATTACTTTCCTGTATAACACTAATGAACTAGCAGAATTGAAAATTAAACACACAGTCCTGTACCATCCTAGCACTCCCCAAACTAAAATATGTAGATACAAATCTTAAAAAGTGCAAGATATATAGAAGAAAACTACAAAATGGATGAAAGACACTAAGAAAGATAAATGTAGAAATATTCTTTATTCATAGATAGGAAGATTCAATATTGTCAAGACATCTGTTTTTCTCAATTTGATCCATAACATCAAGACAACCGCAAATAAAACCCCAATGTTGAGGGAACGCCCAGACCCAGTCCTAGCCCAGGGCCGGTGAGTGTGTGGGAGAGCTTCTGGCTACCCTGTGCCGGCGGGACCTACTACTGGTCCCAGCCCAGGCACAGTGTGGGTGAGACCCTCTTCCACCCCCTTGGGACACCCCCCACCACTCCACAGTACCTCCCCCACCCTGCCCACCAAGTAGGAATTTCTGCCGCGTTCTGGGAACCCCCAGACCCAGTCCTAGCCAGGGCCCGGTGAGTGTGTGGGAGAGCTTCTGGCTACCCTGTGCCGGTAGGACCTACTACTGGTTCCAGCCGAGGCGCAGTGTGGGTGAAACCCTCTTCCACCCGCTTGGGATGCCCCCATCAATTCATAGTACCCCCACACACCCCACACACAGGGTAGGAATTTCTGCCGTGTTCTGGGAACCCCCAGATCCAGTCCTAGCCCAGGCCCAGTGAGTGTGTGGGAGAGCTGCCTCCCTTACTCCACCTTGTCCCCTCCCGACTCAGTTCAGGCCTGGCATACAGGCCTGGGATGAAACCCTGCAGCTGAAATCCCTGCAGAGAGTGTACAGGATAGAACCACCCCAGCTAGTCCAGGAGCAGAAAATCTTGCCAGAGGGGCACAACAGGTTCACCCCCAATGGCAGCAGCAGGAAGGACCTGAGCACAGCAGCCAGACCCAAGCCAGGCACAGCTGGATAAATCTAAACTTTGTAGATCTGCACCTGAACTTCAGTACATGCTAAGGTTATAAATGCAACAAAGATCTATAACAAAGGTCAGAAGACAGTGCTACACAAAATGACGAGAAGGAACAAAATGCAATCTCAGAACCCAAGCCCACCACAACAAGTGCAGAGGACACTAACGCAGAAGAAATTGGGAATCACACAGCTGAAAGCAATGAATCAATGGCTTCTGAAATAAAGAAACAGCTGCAGAAAGGTACAGAGGAACTCAGATTGGAAATAAAAAAAGAAATCCCTGAATTAATAACATCTGCAGTAAAGAATCAAGTGCAGAAACATATGGAGGAAACCCAATGCCAACCCAGAACAAGTGCAGAGGACACTAGCTCGGCTCAAATGCATGAATTAATAGCAGATAGTAAATAGGCAACAGCAGAAAGTTATAGAGGAACTCACAGCGCAATTGTTTTCTGAAATAAAAAAAGAATTCTCAGAACTCATAGCATCTGAAATAAAGAAGCAACTACAGAAACATAGGGAGGAAACCCAATATGAAAAAAACACTTCAGTAAAAGAATTTATAACTGCTTCTAAAGAAGATATATAAAACCCCAGTGTTATTTTATGGATACTAACACACTGATTCTAAAATTTATGGAAGCAAAAGGCCCAGCATATCCACCTCAGTATAGGAGGAGAGCAACTGAGGATGGCTGGGGAGGGGTAGAGAGAGTTGGTTACTAGGCACAGTGCTACAGTGAAGTAGGGGTGAATAAATTCTGGTGTCCTATTACACAGTGGGGTGACTACAGTTAACAAAAATCCATTGTATATTTTAAAATAAAAGAATTTTTCAAGTTTTTATCATAAAGAAATAACACATATTTGAGGTAATGGACATGACAATTACCCTAATTTGATCATTACATGATATATGCATATATTGAAATGCACCATTACTCTCATAAGTACATATAATGTGTCAATCAAAATTAAAAAGAAATAACAAAAAATAAGAGTAGAATACTTACCTAAAAGCTACAGTAATCAAAACATTATGGTATTGGCAAAACAACAGACAAATAATAAAGAGCCCAGGAATAGAAGTACATAAATATTAGCAATTGATTTTTGACAAAGTAGCAAAAGCAAATCAATGGTGAAAACACAGTCTTGAATAAATGGTACTAGAATAATTATACATCCATGTGGGTGAGTATCTAGACAAAGATTTTATATCTTTTACATAAATTCACCAAAATACATCACAGACCTACATGTAAAAGCAAATCTA